ATTTACTGCATTTGACAATTTAGGATGGGTTGTTTCAGTAGTAACCTCCATTTGGTCTTCAATGTCTAGTTAGTAAACTGTAGTACTCATGCAGCCTTGGCTTCCTCACCTTTGACACCTGCGCACAGCGACACAGGGAAACTACATCCAGAAATGAAAAAATCCTTTGGGAAAAGAAGTAAATAAAGATATTGAGAAAAACTGACGCATACGTTATGGTCAAAACACTAAAGATTAAGAGATTCTTTTCAACACCTGCGCATTTCCGTGTTCCTACCCTAAAACCATATACTAACCAAATAGGAAAAGATAAATTAACCCTTTAACTGATTGTTAATTCTCTCCTCTAGCTGCTACACATTTCCTTGTAAATTAGTTATGAGAACTTGGTGCTAGATCAAGATAACAACTTCTATCCCATAAGTTTGAATATTCTCATTACCTGTTTGCTGAATAATGTATGGATATTTTAGGGAGAAGTTTTATGTTAATCACTTCTGGGAGTTAAAGGGTTAATTAAAAAAAGATAAATTAATTAAAAAATTATCTAACATATCAACTAAAACTCATTTACTGGATTAGATTTCAACTTTTTTGAGCAGCAGTATGAGCTGGAACATGTAAGAATTCACAGACTACATCACTCATGTTCAAATCTTGACCCTCTAATTTCAAAAGTGACTAAGACAAAATAATAATTATTTTGCCTCACAATATCAATATAACATCAAGCAAAGTGATTAGTGATGAGAATAAAGAAAAATATTCCTTGGGGGATTATCAGTTGATCCAATACCAAATTCTCTGAGGTAACATAGGAAGAATTATAGATTGATAGTGAGGAGAATTACTAAAAGATCTTGAGAGTGAAAGGGTTGATAAAAAAAAGTGAGTGAAACAAAACCCATCAAGATCATATCATTTCAATCCATTATTTAATAACCATTAACCCTTTAACTCCCAGATCAAATTTGTAATTCTCCCTACTGTCAACCATACAATTTTTATAATGTTAGTTCAGAGAATTTAGTATCGCATCAATTAATTATCCTCAAACTGATATTTTTCTTTTTTCTCATCACTTATCTGGTTGATATTGTATTGATTTTATAAGGAGAAATTCTGTTTTGGTCACTCATGGGAGTTAAAGGGTGCATCTTTCCCTTTAGCCATCACATGAAATTAAAGTATGTTTAAACTTATCGTTCCTTTTCATAACCAAAAATAAATATACATAAATAGATTCATTAAATGAGTAACTATAAAATAATAAAAAAAAAGTAAAAATGAACAATTCAAAATCCATAAAAATCTTTTTTGTGGCTTTTAAGTGCATTGGTAAAGCAAACACAGGAATTTATCAGTTTGTACTTTGATTATTAAACAATCATTTATCAATACGTTAGTTCATTTGTTGATACAATGCAAATCTAAAAATAAATTTATACAGCTGTAACATTTTTCTTTCCAGATGCATCTAAGTAATGACAAAAAGCTTGCACCTTTATGATAAAGGTGTCACTTAGGGATCATTGGGCAAGTATTATAAATACTACTACATTTACAGTAAGTATTTGCTGGGCTAATCAGAGTGGCTCTTGTCTTTTAAAACAATGTCTACTTTCCCTCTAAATTAAACTACATAATATTGTATTTGATTTCCCTTAAAGTACATTAGCATGCAAATTGTGAAGAGCACTATTTTGATGAGCATTAAAACAAACCTTATCTTTCTTTAAGACCTATCAATATCAAAATTTTCTCACTTAGGCAAGGTAAAAATTTTCTGCATGCATAATGACCCATTTATCTAAGTACCTTAAGACCTTCAAAGAGAACATACTTCACATCATCAGTGCACTAAAATCACTTCTCAAATTTACCTTAAAATAAGTTCCTTGGGTAGTTTCTTGTTTATCAAGGCTTGATCTTCATTTGTGTTAAAATTGTAAAGCTGAAATTTGAATGAGATTTGAAATATTAATAGGTTATTTGCCTGTGAGCTGTCAAAACACGCCGCCATTACAGAATTAAAATGACAGCTCTGAATGTAATAGGGATGACGACTGCAAGCTATAATTTCGTTCGAGGCAATATCCATATGGTTCCTCTAAAACACAACGTGTTGGCGTGGGAGAACCATTAACTTTTAGCAGTTTATGTTGAAAAATTCTTTCTCGATCAAGCTAGGTTTCAACAGGAAATTCGTTCGTGTCTATCTAGCATTGAAAATATTTATAAGCTGTGTGCAAGGTTTTAGCATGGTAGTGGAGAGCGATGAATTTATTTACATGGTAGAGGGAATTTCATTTAACCTTGAAACAGACGATAACGCTTCTTTTTTATCATATGTCCAAAAAAATGTCTTGTTTCCAACTTAAACCTCCAAAAGCACAGTTTTTTTAAGTAAGTAAAATGAAATAACAATTTTATACACGCTGAACACAATGGCAGTATAAATGTCGCATTCGATCGCGGACGTGTGAAATTCTACCAAAACCTTTCAGTCAGATTGGTATAACATACCAAGTGTTACGTTCCTAGCGATCACAATTGATCAATTTATTATTTAGAGATATAGTTTCGTCCTGGGATGAAAATGTTATGCAAGAAATAAGTTTATTCTGGGGTTCAAAGCCGCACGTTTTTTCTGGGTCAATAAAGATAATTTATTGGAAGGAACGCTAGGGAAATGCGAACTGCAACCACGAAATCCTCTTGCAAGAATTTACGGGTGACAGTCAAGGCGCTTGCTCCTCTTCTCTACAGCACAAAAAGCGTATTTACCACCGAGAAAGGATGTTTCGATAAATATTTTTACTCCATCCACTGCATCCGAAGCGACGGACTTGTCCACGAAACAAAACAAGGCAAAACAAAACATTTAAATGGCTAAATAGAGGACGAGCTATCGATTGCAAAGGAAATGCATGAGAGGTAGCACATTCTAGATGTAGCTAGCTTCTGACAACCAAATCGAAATTGAAGGATAAAGGCTATTTAAACTTAGCGACTGAAGCTGACTTCAGCTAGATGCAAATATTAGAAATAAATTTTTGTGGCACCGAGAAACGGAAACTAAATGACTATTGTTTGGGTACATCGCCGAACAATCTCATGGATTTGATGAAAATTCTCACAATCTTACCTCAAACCTGCTTCTAGAGTTAACCCTGGCGTGTGTATGGTTATAAGCTGTATGGTTGGTGTGGTTAGAGCACATTAATTTTGCTTATATTCTCGAGGTTCAACGACACAGCCTCCGCAGAGCTGCTGCTTGAACTCTTGTGTTTTTTTGTTTTTCACGAGCCAGATGCTTCGCGTCGAGATTTGTGGGTAATGATTTCCCACTTCCGGTGGTAAACCGGAAGCAGATAAGACAACGCCAAAAGTTAAATTGGAAACAAAAAATATCAGTTAACGAAGGACCATGGGCAGTTCATGTTGTCTTGAAGTAAAATAAATAGTCGTCGTTGTGTATATCGTCATTTAATGTTATTCAACTTTCATCTTTTGGCAAATTAATTTTGTTATTGGTTTTTTCTTTGTAACTACAGGGGGCCAATACAGTTTCTGGCACGTTTGCTGGAAGTGCGTTAGTCTTTGCAGTATTTCGCTTTCACACACCTCACTACACCGAGTAAAAACGATAAATTTTCGTTTTAAGAAACAGTCACTTTTCAGTTTTTAATTATATTTTGTTTTCAAATAAACCTTAGTTTGCAGGTGCCACGTACGTGACTGCCCTTGATGAACTTTCATAACTTCAACTTTCGCGATTGCCGCCAGCTATTTAACTAATCACGGAACATGACGGCGAATCTTTTAAGGGCTAAAAAAATCAGAATTGATTCTTAAGGGTTAGAAAGCAGCTAAAGGAGCTAAGTCCAACTTGTTTAGTCGTGTTTTGCGACAACATCGCATAATTACCTTTGACACTGGTAACACAAAATTGGATAAGCAAACCAAAAGCATCGAAAACGGCTGCTAAGGATGAAGAAAATTCCCACAGATAGCAAACAACATTTTTTTTTAAACTAACAGTCTAAACATCTTGAGGTGCTCGGAGGCCCAGGGCTCAAAGTACAGCTTTATCCCAAAGTCGCGTGCCCAACAGTGGTGTGATGTGACATCACGTTACCGCAGCCTCATGATATTACAGCGGGATTTACTTTCACCACAACGTTCACGTGATTAAAAGATCGAAAATAAAAGATCTGAAATAGATATTATCGCGAAAATAACCACGGTAGTTCCAAAAATACTGATAGAAGCATTTTCATTGCTTCTTACTTTGAGACACATACACTGGAACACCAAGTCGCCATCAACAACATTTTGCTTGATTATCAGTCAAAACAAATTCCATACTACCGTACGCCGGTTTAGCACGTCTGTAGCTGCCCTTACCACATTATGACGCCATTTGTGATCTGTTTCTGAACAGAAACGCGGCAACATACAATCCATTTGTCAATTAGGGAAAATGTATGGAAATGTTACGTTGAAAAGCGTCGTGTGTTCCCTGTGGTTAGCTAGATATCGAACATTAATCTCGTACCCAAATCCTACCGTTTAACTGAAATGTAGAGTCAGAACAACCGCTTGACCGTGGAAGGTCTGGATGCCAGACTAATCGAATATGTCATTGTGACATTTGTTGGAATAGCACCCTTTAACCCTCGAGAGTGACTGGCATCTAATTTCTCCTAACCATGTCACCCCTGAATCCAAAATAAAGGTCAGGAGAATAAAGGAGCTGATCACCTACTAAAGAAGCTCTTGATTGTTAGACATATTCTCCATGTCCGCATCTTAAGAAATGTTTAGAGAACAGTGTGGAGAATATGCATACTGATTTTAGGGTGTAAAGGGTTAAACGGAAACACTCCAAGCACATCTATAATAATTAATATTATTTATACTGAGAAAATGTACATTCGGCTGTATTAATCAATGTAGTTAATTTTTAAAACAGTGAATAAACACGAGGTTTCTTCTTTTTTCTGTTCATTTTAAGTTCCATTCGTTCATCCATTTTTTTCGTATCCAAGTTTAACCTCGTCCACCTTCTCCTTTCATATCATTTCACGTCCTCTGAAGCAAGAAGAAGAGAGATCCTGGGAACGAGGTACTGCTCTGTCAGAGACAGCGTGTTTCCGAAAAAAATCTACAACTTCTACGATCTATTTGGCAATGCTCCCTTCTTGCGGCTGGTAAGCGTTGATTTAAATTAGTACAGAGAATTAAAACAAAACCATTCTTTCGGCGTGGTTGCTTGCTGGATATTGTTTTGATAGCAAAGGAAAAGTTTCACTTCTTGAAAATCAACTCTGGGGTTGAAAGATGATGCGGCATTGGAGCTCAGTTCGTCTTTCTGAGTTCTTTAATTTTACTGAGGAAAAATCTCTCCACAGTATTTGCGCACTTGTAGTACTCAGTCTCCGGAGCATTATAGGTTCGGCAGTTTGTGAAAATTCTCATCATGTCGGCGATAAACAGCTTCTTCGAGCTGAAATAACCACTTTTTAACCTATCGGTCATCGTGCGAAGATCTGTAAAGCAGAAGAAAAACAAGCCAAACTTAGAATGACGTTATAACTGTATCGAAGGAGGAGAAGAGTTCCACTAGACGCATGTGAACACCTCTAAATGAGTGTTTAAAATTCGTGCCACATATACACGCACAGAATCTTCACACACGTTTCGCTAGCTATTCCCAGTTATCTATGAGAGACATCATTAAGAAAAATACTTTTTAATTGCTTGTTTTTTTTTTGTTAGTTTCGGTACGGACGTTTTCAACCACTGTTTCATTCATTAGGAGCGTTAGGAGTACTCGTGTGAACGGCCAAACATGATTAAAACAATTGTGTGGAAGTAAATTTTTTCTTTTAAAATGAACAGAAAAATAAATCGTAGTTAGATTATCTTAGTACTTACCCATTGGGTATTTGATGTGATCATAATAATCGGGTGCTTCAGAGATTTCCACTGGTCTTTGGAAAGGCCACGAGCTGGCATGATTCTGTGAACAAAATATGTTTAAAGCTTGTTAAATATGAAAAGCGACCTGTGTTTCCTTACATTAACTCCCATGGAAAAAAGTTCAACAAAGGCTTTAAACAATCAAGTAACTACAGGAGCTAGATTGTAAGCTTATCACAGATCGATTCAGAGCGATCGACATATTTCGAAAGAAAATCAAACAAATCAAAATGCCGTGAAAAAAACAAATAAAAAACAAAACAAAAGAAAGCGAACGGACTCCACAAACCTTGACTTGTGTCAGGATGTTTTTTAGTTGAGTCTGTAGGTGGTCAGCATCAGCTGTGTCATCCTCACTGAAAAATCCACAGACACATTTCAGACAATTTCTTCCTCCAATTATCTTTTTATTCAATCATTTCATGTTTTTGTATTTCTTATTTTTTCAACCAGATACTTTCTCTTTGTCTACGGGGAAGAATACTGCAGTTCAAATCGTACCCTAATATGTGAATGCATTTTGTCCACACTATTCTCTTCATGTTTCCTAAGGTTATGATAAAGAGATTGTTTGAAAATCAGGAGCTTCTTAAATTGATGATCATTTCCTTTATTCTCAAGACCTTTAAATTTGATTCAAGGATGATACTGTGAGGAGAAATTAGACACCCGTCAAAGGGTTAAATATAGCGTCACGGTTTTGATCGATAGCTTTCATAAGCAATAAGAAAGGTTTTCCTAGAAATTTCTAACTAAACGCAAAAATCATCTCTCTTTTATTAAAGAACATTTTGCCAGAATTATTATTTGAAGGCAGTTTGGTTTCAATTAGGTCCACACATTGATCGGCTAGTCAAAAATAAATGCACCGTTCGGCACTTTTACTACGGACGTTTTCTCTTTCAGACAAATACTTGCTTGATTTGGCGTAAAACAATGTTTGAAGTTATAAATAGCACGAGAAAACTCAACTTCAAGACAACATTTTGCGGTAATAACCACCTGCTCAATTTGCATCCAGTCTAAGTAATAGCCATTAACTGATTCGGAACCTCTCCAACGAATTGACATTATAGACAATTATTGTGAAAAACCTTTCGCTGGATGTGAATACATGGCAAAGTAAAAACATTTTTAACATGTTTTTTTATATAGAGTGTCAGAGCGAAAAGCAACAAAACGGAACTTAATTGATCAAAATTATATACAAAGGGCTTCTAAAACAGTTTTCAAAGATGCTCGCTGGCAACATCAAAGTACATGTGCCAGTTGTACCATTTTGTGGGGATTGGGGGAGGGGGGGAGGGGGAAAGCAAATAAGCAAGTAAGGGGAAGCACTTCACCACCATACCCCACGCATAACCATACTAAAAAATACCAAAACTTAGAAGCGAATATAAAGCAACTTCAACTGTCGTTATTTTTGCTTCACATCGCTCTGTAATTGGTCCAGAAGACTTGCACCACTCTCGCAACAAATTATACGCAAAACTACAACCAATCACGACTTGGTCGCGCGCGTTCTCTCGCGCGTTCTCTCGCGCTTTAGGCAGTTTGCTTGATTTTACTTTGAATTCTCATTTGCTCTTAAAGGTATTTCCTTTCCTCTGATTGGCCGTTGCAAATTATTTTGCCTTTAGCCCTTTAACTCCCATGAGTGACCAAGACAGAATTTCTCCTTACATTACCAATACAACATCAACCAGACAAGTGATGAGGATTAGGAAAAATATCAATTATGAGATTACTAATTGATCCGATACAAAATTCTTCAAACTAACATAATGAGAATCATTTGGCAGGCAGTAAGGAGAATTATTAATAAGATCTTGGGAGTTAAAGGGTTAGCTGTATGACACTCAATCCAAAACCGTTCTAACATCAACAGATAGAAATTGGTTTTAAATAGGTATACAGGCATGAAAGTAGTCGTTGAACACCAAAGCCAGCCAGACGATCGCTAATAGCATGCATATATGGACGATTTCCCAGAGCACAATTTTAGTGGAAAGGCCTTTACATGGTAATAAACCTACCTCTTCGTTAAGGATGGCTTCCATCCCGTTTCACCTGTTTAAGTGAGAGCAGAAGTAATGTAAGAGAGTTATAGGTTAACGATCACTGGCTATTAAGTATTGTCACTCATCGTTCCCGTCAACGCATGAATGTAGAACACATCAGTCAGATGCTTGCGCAAGTAACAGCTTTATTGCAGCCCTTTATAATGATTTATATTTATATTTTATATTTTGATTTCTATTTATGATTTATAATGATTTTGATTTCAGACCATCTGGACCAAATTACCTCTGAGGAGTTAAAAAATCACACAAGTCAGTTTCAAAAGCGTAACACTTTTCTGATAACGCTAGAAAAAAAATTTGTAAATCAACAAAATAACGGTACGAAAATAAAGTTTGTGTTCGAAAAGTCTTAAATTTTCTTTTCCCAGCTTCTGTTTCCTTCTATCAGCATTTCAATTTCTGCGCATGCCCCACACTTAAGCGCTGTCTTCAACCGTCTACATACCCACTTTTGACCTTTGTCAGAGGTAGACAGTGTCGCTGTAAGAATGTGTACCAGAACAAATGAAGAACCGTTCGTTGAAACACGAGTTAAGCTTCAAATTCAAAGAGAAGTACTGGTAGATATTTTTGTTTTCAAATGCAACAAATCAGAACTTCCCAGGGTCCTAAGTTTCTCCCTAACCGTTGCTCAAGGCTGTAGGTGTGAGATTGGGAAATATAACAACGCAAATTACCTCCTCTGACGCTGAAAACCTGCTGCTTTCTAAGTCGGTTTTAGTATGTTTATCAATCCAAGGGACTAATAATGAATTATCGCCGGAGGGAGGGGAGGGAGGGGGGGAGGGGTTTGGAGGATTTTAGCTGTGTCGCGGTCAAGTTTAAGCCCCCTTTAACTCTGTTGGCCACGACTGACCCCGCTCTATCCCCCCTCCCCCTGACGATAACTAACTGTTTCTTAAGAATGATTAAAGTTTACTTACGGATTCCTGGTATACTCTCTACGGGGATTTGTCTTACTCCTTCTTGAAAACACTTGAGCCCGGGGTACACTTTACGGATTTCAGTTTGTTTCTTCTCCATCAGTTGTTTAACGATCTGTAACGACGTGACATTTATTTATTACAAAGAAGAGTTTTCGAGTTCAAAAATTCGATCCTTAAACGTTCCGATTTTTGCGGTCAGATGCAAGAAATTTACTGTCAGGCTCGACATAATCAGTTACAGTCGAAGTGTCATGCATACTGCTATGATCAACAACTTTGAAAAGGTCCTGTGAGACCATGGCCGTCGAATAACGAACGATGTTTTGATAACATTTCTGAAGAGCCTCATACCACCACAATGTGATGTCATCATTAGTGCCAGACTCCAAACAAACTTCTTCCCGACTCGTCTCAAAGCTTCCAGCGGGCGAGGAAACGCGCTAATATTGAAGGCATGCCTGCATGCTTAGTCTATTAACCCTTTAAGTCCCGTAAGTGATCAATATGTAACTTCTCCCTATAATATCCATACATTACCTACCAAACAGGTAATGAGAATACTCAAACTTATCAGGTAGAAGTTTTTCTCTTGATCTAACACCAAATTCTAAGGTAACTAAAGTTACAAGTGAATTTCTTTTAGCTGGCGGGGAGAATCAACGATCAGATCTTGGGAATTAAAGTATTAACGAAGGATCACCGGCGATTGTACAAATGTTCAACATCAGATGAAAAGTACTCACCTCTTTTTGTTTTCTGATGATCGTGGAGAATTCAGTGTACTGGATCCGCGAATTGATAGCGCACTGTCAAAGAAAATATCAACATAACAGTTACAGTGATTCAAACGGGCCGTTGTGTGAAGATCTGCGAGATCCTCAACAATACAGCTGTAAGAAGCTGGAATATATAAGGACCAGTCAGTTATTTATCGCCGGGGGCGGG